GGAAGAGCGAACAGGCAATACCAAAGTCTACGGAAAAGATGATCGATTTCATCGTGATCGATTTAACGATGAGTTCTCTACCGAGAGATCGGACTCCGACCTTCTAGGTCCGAGGCACAGACGCGAAAGTGACATGATCGACGTTCAAGAGTTCAAGAAATTCGAGCGACTGCACAGGTATCGGCGAGATCTCGAGACGGACGACTTCTTATCCAATGAAGCTGCGTTTCAGAATGAAGATTATTATGAGAACGATCCTGAATCGCAGGATCAACCAGTACGACCCTGTGACGCAGCAAAATGCGTGATGCTGCGATGTGTGCTGGGTCCATTAAAGAAAGATCAAGAGGTCTGGATCGGCGCGAGGTATCGCGTGGACGCTAGAACTTTGAAAGAGGTAGCCTTTACGGAGAAGGTGAAAGTGTCGACTAAGCTGGTGGCGCGTGTTACGAAGCAACCGTTCATCGGTACGCCAGCCGAACAAGTCATCAGAAGTGACGAAGTTATCACGAACATTGAACCTAGCGCACCACCTTCCGCTCCGGACATCATTCCAGTGTGGGTGGTAGTTCTGTCGGCCTGCGCAGGAATGATAATCCTCTTGCTGCTCATCTACTTGCTTCATAAGGTTAGTAATGCGTGCATTATAAAACAAAAATAAATAATTAAAAATTTTTTTTTAATTGTTTTGTGGAGAAATATTGATCCAAATATCTAGTGATATTTAAATTTGCTAAATTTATTCAGTCCTCAGTGTTGATATTAATGCTTGAGACGTGGATAAACAATTGATTGATTAATCTTGTCTATAATTTACAGTGCGGATTCTTTAAGAGGAATAGGCCTTCCGACGCTCCAGAAAGGCAACCGCTAAATCGAAACGGTCATTTCCAGCAAGGCGAGGATCACTGAACAGCCTCCTTTTTCAATTTCGTTCTATCGAAGTTTTTGACCTTCTGGCTATATCGGATTGAATCGCAGACGAGAACCTGGCTACGCGATCGAAGAGTGCCTTGGTCTTTTGATAATCAAAAGAACGCACATTGCGTGGATTCGCTTGGCGTAGTCTGCGGACGTGGTCCCGACTTCTACCGAATATCTTAATAGCGTTTAACAGTGCCTTAATTCACTGTCCAAGATGAACATCTGCTGAGGCGCATGGATTCTAAGTGACAATCGATTCGTCATTCTTATACTGCCACTGAATACTCCTTCCAGCTCCTGCAGCTCGACCACGCAAGTTTCTAGTCAGGAGACGATTTTCTGTTTTTATTACCTGTAATTACTTAAGCCGCCCGTACAGTCGGCAGATACGAACGAATATTTCGACATTCTTCGGTAAATCGTATCTTCATGTATATAAGTATATATATGTTATTTTTTTTAACGTTATCCGGTAAAGCGTCTTGATATGTGCCCCGTCGCTTCCGCTGCCTTTTTACGGTAAAATAGAATTATTTTTTTATCCGCGTCCAATTGGCACGATCTCTAAAACGATCTTGTATCTTGTCAATAACCATCTCCAGCGGAACTCATTCGAAAACATTATGGGTTCTTTCGTAAAGCTCCTTTTACACAAGACGGTGATCAAATGTTGCATATCGTGAACATTAAATTTACACGTCGTGAAAGATGGCTTATTGTTAATTCTTCAGACGTCTTTTAAATGTTTCCTCCAAGTTTTTGTATTGTTTGTGAATAATGTATTGTTATCAGCATTTCAAACATTACTCACGACCGGTTTAAAAGGGATCTATAAATCTCTTGAAAACAGCCTCGAAGACGCACGGGGCTCTTTTTAATTATTTATTAAATTTCTATGTTATATATATATATAATACTATAATTCGTAGGCTTGAGCGCCGTAATAATAGCGTGACTTACTATGGTCGCACGCGCAAGACGCGAATGTGTGTACAATTTGTAAATTATTAATTTACATTACTAAAATTTTATATCCACGAGAAGTGGTTTAACGCAATAATATTCGATTAGAAAGGAGACTTTTTAGTATAAATAGGAGATTAGTGCTGACTTGTACATACAACGTTAAGACATAATACGAAAAAAAATATATGTAATGAAATTAACACACCATTATGCATATATTGCTAATTTTTTTTCTAATAAAACTGTTAGGAGAATAGCTTTGATTAATATAAGTAAAGAAAGGAAAATTAAATCAGATGTGAATTTGTACAACTATTTATTGAAAAATTACAATGATGTAACAGAGCGATTGGTAAAAGAAACGTTTAATTACCATCTCAACATCGTGTGTACTGTCTGTACTCTGTACTGTATATTAATTGATCGCATTGACTGTTTCTATTGAAACCAGCCTATAACTTATCGTGCACAAATTATAAGAAAATTCGGGATATAAAAAAATATATGTTTCATTAATCTCGTCTTTTTTTGTAATAGATTTGGATAGTATCCCCCCTCCCATATTTTCGTTGATAAAATTTGTATAAAAATAATCTATAATGAGAGTACAATTGTCAGTTTGTAAAATATTCTACCACCTTCGTTAATAGTTTTTCTCGCGTTTCAAGAGCTTCGCATAAATGGATTGGAGTGAACGATGAATAATTGTCATAAATGTAACTGCAAATGTGACTGATGTTTAACAATTTGTGATTACATGTATGTATGTGTATATGTATGTGCTCGAGAAAACTTGCAGTGTATCTCCCCACTATAAGATAAAACAAATACCTTATAAAAAAAAAATTGCATGAAACCCCGCTCTATAAAATCGTACAAAAGTTTATACGCTAGAGATATACGTATAAAAGGAAACATTGAAATATTGTACATTTACGAATACGTAATTCAGTTATTGCTATTGTACTATTTACGTCTATACCCGGCAATTGTTTGATGGATCGGAATGGAATACATTATCTTTTTCATACGGGATACAGTACAAACGATAAGAAATTATAGTGAATATTGATATCCGTCGGGCATTGCGGAATCATTACTCTTCAAAACGCCAATGTTATATTAGACAATATATACAAATTCGCGTCGTATTTAAAATGGTATTTCTATTTAAAATCGCGCTCAATAATTTGTTTCGTTTTATTCAATCTTTTTAATGGGTTATCGATAAGACGGATAATGATCTGCGATTTTACGCATTATCGCTGAATAAAAAGTACATGTATGTATACACCATACATTTAGTAAACGGTTGTAACAATGATCTAACATACGAGTAAAAACGAAAAGAATCCTAAACGAGTATCAATGTTTTGGTATCTGCGATTCTTTCAGTTTCACGATATCACGGTGCACGCAACCTTAAAATTTCCTCTAATAATATTACGTGTGCGTTCAATAAATCTTTCCCTGTAGATCACGAATATATAACCCTGTCTTCAGAATTGGACTAAATATCGACATTTTTTATCAACCAACGCGAACAGCACCTGTAGAGTGTTACCTTCCAAACAGTGATATTGGACAATGGACACATGAACATTTGTATTATCATCTAATTGTCATTATCGCTATTAATTCGATCATCTATATCCTTATACGTGTTATCCTCATATCAGCTATCGGGAACCTAAAATCAAGCAATTTTTAACAGAGAACAGATTTAATGGAATAAGTTGATTTAGTAATATAAGATTGCTTTTATTCTTACTTTCCACTGTAACTGAGTGCCCGCTTCGTAAAGCTCCTTAAGCGTTTCCCTCAAAGTGCCACAGCTTTCCAGTTCTTTGTACTTACGATACAATTCTAAGGCTGCTCGCGCATCCTTGGTCGAATCGTGAGTTTCGGACTGAATCTTTTTACCCAAAAAGTGCCATGTCAAGAAGCGTAATAACACCATACGATGATGAGATAAGTGAAATAATAAAACCGTATCTACTATTTGCTCCGGCGGTACCACCATATTTATTACCCTATAAAATTCAGGCATAAATAAATGTCGTCACATTAATGAATCACTGTCGTAAATATCAATGTAAGTAGTGTTTTACCTAAAATCATTTTTTAGGCCGTGTCCGACGAAGATTATGCCATTGTCCACTAAAAACCTCAACTTTTGATACGTAGATTTCAGAGTGGTGAGATGTTTGCTACTAAAGTTCGCGTCTAAATCACCCGGTTGGATCCCGCTAAATTTTGTCAAATAATCGACCACTTGTTCTTGAGTGCTTATGTAATCGTCTATAAATGGTGTACCTTTCAGTGGACCTTGCCTATTTGTAAAAAGGTGAGGAAAAGGTTACAATTTAAAACTTTGCAAACATCGTCATTAAATGTACTTCTCTATAATCGGATTAAAATCTCCATTTATAAAACATGACTATTTAATGATAATTCATACCCGCGTATACAAGTGATTCGCGCTACAGACATATGGCTCGGTTTTATAGTCGACATTTTTCCATCGCTCCGCAACTCGGATTCTTCTTGATTTAAAGTAACGAACTCTGCATCGATCCCTACCAATTCTCCTATAACAATAATTCCAACATTTGCAAGACAATCCATCATAGAGAATTAAACAAGATTGACTGTTTGTGTCAAAATCGTACAAAAAAAAAAATTAAATAAAATCTACCTTTCTTAGGCATTTCATCCGAGGCTAGAGGGGTAAATGTAATGCCTCTGGTTCCGCCACTGCGCGCAATACATTTATCTTCGCCAAACACATCATATGTCAGGGGACTGACATATGATGCCGGTTCGGGTGCAGGTATCGCCGTGTAATGGAGCACACATGGTACTTTCCAATCAAGATTAAACCACACTGCTTCTTGCGGAGTTACCGGTGATATACTATGACAAATTTAGTGTTGTAATAAATGATGTTAAAGCACTGATGCGCATTTGTCCCCCAAAGGACTTACCAGAAATCGTTGAAAATGTACCACTGCGATACAGGGTTGCCCGACGATCGTACGTGATAATTTGGTCCAACTCGCAACAGCGTTACAATATTTCTCCGTTCCTCATTATTCTTGTCGTCAATATAACAGACGACAGCACTGAGACCGTATTGTATTTTTTGAGTATTATTAGATATCTCTGAATTTGTACTTTTCGCCTCGCCTACTTCCGCGTTCGATACTATATTACAATTTTCGACGTTGTTACAATCTTCGTCATTATTGTCTTCGACGTTGTTGTCGGAAACTGTTCGTACTGTTTTGTCATCTTGGCCGTTCTCCATCACGCTCGTTTGTGCGGACGTGTTATTCGTCAATTCGTTTTTTGGTTCGCTAACTTTTTTAACCAACATCTTGCCATTTTCTTCAAGAGTGATCTCTATGTTGTGAGGTATCCAGGAATGCGAATAATACAAATGACTAGGGGGTGAAATAACTGACACTGTCGATGTAGACGAGGTAGACGGAGTAGAGGGCGATGTTAATAATTTCTCCGTCTCTGTATGATTAATAAAATACAAAGTTCATACGGAGTAACATATTAAATCTAAGAGGATTCAATATTGCGTACCTGAGTCGCGACCAACGTGTCTGAATCGACATCCAACTCGTGTACAATTATTGCCATATCGACAGGGTTTCGCAGTAACAGGCACAGGACTGGAGCTGGGACTACTCTCCTTTCCCGTTAACACATTTTGCACTACGATGTCCATCTGATTTTGCCAAAACGCCTTATCCTGTAACAATTTGATCTCTGTTAACTTTGATCAATAAGACGCAATGTGCGGCTTCATATGCTTTGATTCTGTATGCGCTATGATCTAATCTTGTGTTGTAAGTACCTGTTGAGTATCTAAGCCGCAATTTAAGGCCAGTATTTGAGGTAGTTTAGTCAATTGTCGTGACTGGAGAGTAGGTGTAAATTTCTGGCAACTATCACACCATGCGGGTGTAATTTTCTCAGGTCTTAAACTGCGGGCAAGAACACTTGTAAACGGTACCTCTTCAGCTACAAAAGGTAAATCTTGTATTCAGAAGCGAGCATTAAACTATGACTACTATTTACTATGACTATGACTAATATTCGAAACTTCGAAATCCTATTTCTAAAAATACATTGTTATTTATTAAATTTTATAATTTTAAAAACTTAAAATGTGAAAATTGTATCGCTGTCAGATTTCAATAGTTATTTTTCTTATCTTATTTTTTTGTCTTAAAATACTCAAATCCGTAAATATGCAGTCAAAGTTTCAAACATTTTATGTGCTAGACTCGCTTTTCGTTCGGTCTTAAATATATGTATTACTTCAAAATAGCTCACAAGGATTGACTATTTCCGGATAAACTAAATTACAAAGTAACATGATGGAATGTTTCGTAGCTTCTTGCCCACATTTGAGACAGCGATGTATGTGCATTTGTTCAGATCCAAATAGATGACTGATCTCTGTTTCATCATCTCGCACTTCATTCTCTTCGGCAGACTTTTTGGTGTTCTTATCTACCCGTAATAAATGCGCATTTAAGCAAATATTATTAACACGTTACTCACAATTAAGTAAAAAGAGAGAAATATTGTTTAGTGAATAAGATAAGTGTCTAATATTTCCACAACAATATTTAGTTATTGATATATATGTATATATAGATAATCTTTGATGTTTTGTAATAATAGTTAATTTAAATATATTCTTATTTATTAATTTATGGGATATCGCGTCTTGCTTAAAAAGTATGGAGAGTTTGATTTTTTTAAACATGAAATACTACAAAATATAGATATCATCGAGGTATATGTATAAAAACGAATTATTTTCTCAAATATTATATAATATAACATTACTCGATATTATATTATCATATTTATACTTTTAACATTCATGAATATCAATCATATATTTCTAAATCCCAGGATTCTTGTATAAAAGCAAGATCATGCAACTTTTGGAAAGTAAGATACAAGGGACTGGCTGCTCTTCTTGTTATAAAAAAAAATACAAAATATTATTAACACGTTACTCACAATTAAGTAAAAAGAGAGAAATATTGTTTAGTGAATAAGATAAGTGTCTAATATTTCCACAACAATATTTAGTTATTGATATATATGTATATATAGATAATCTTTGATGTTTTGTAATAATAGTTAATTTAAATATATTCTTATTTATTAATTTATGGGATATCGCGTCTTGCTTAAAAAGTATGGAGAGTTTGATTTTTTTAAACATGAAATACTACAAAATATAGATATCATCGAGGTATATGTATAAAAACGAATTATTTTCTCAAATATTATATAATATAACATTACTCGATATTATATTATCATATTTATACTTTTAACATTCATGAATATCAATCATATATTTCTAAATCCCAGGATTCTTGTATAAAAGCAAGATCATGCAACTTTTGGAAAGTAAGATACAAGGGACTGGCTGCTCTTCTTGTTATAAAAAAAAATACATTATATACAATAAAGCGTTTTAAGGAATTACAAAAAGCATTTACTGCAACTTATTAATTTAATATAAGATTAATATATATAAAGAGAGAGAAATAATATATTCTAAAAAATATATGCGCATCGGCGCATATATACAGAAAGCTTCAATCTTGATATCCTAAGAATACAAGTAGATAGTGGGCACTATGGGGCGTCAAAACAAACCCCCACTCCTCGGCCACTGGCGCCGACCCCCTGCTGTGACTGTCTGGGGCCCTCCCCCCTAAAGGTGTCTGTGGAAAAAAAGAATGGAGGGGACTCGTGGACGTCTACGAGACAATTTTCCTTTTAAATTTTTCTTGCCTATTTGTAAAAAGGTGAGGAAAAGGTTACAATTTAAAACTTTGCAAACATCGTCATTAAATGTACTTCTCTATAATCGGATTAAAATCTCCATTTATAAAACATGACTATTTAATGATAATTCATACCCGCGTATACAAGTGATTCGCGCTACAGACATATGGCTCGGTTTTATAGTCGACATTTTTCCATCGCTCCGCAACTCGGATTCTTCTTGATTTAAAGTAACGAACTCTGCATCGATCCCTACCAATTCTCCTATAACAATAATTCCAACATTTGCAAGACAATCCATCATAGAGAATTAAACAAGATTGACTGTTTGTGTCAAAATCGTACAAAAAAAAAAATTAAATAAAATCTACCTTTCTTAGGCATTTCATCCGAGGCTAGAGGGGTAAATGTAATGCCTCTGGTTCCGCCACTGCGCGCAATACATTTATCTTCGCCAAACACATCATATGTCAGGGGACTGACATATGATGCCGGTTCGGGTGCAGGTATCGCCGTGTAATGGAGCACACATGGTACTTTCCAATCAAGATTAAACCACACTGCTTCTTGCGGAGTTACCGGTGATATACTATGACAAATTTAGTGTTGTAATAAATGATGTTAAAGCACTGATGCGCATTTGTCCCCCAAAGGACTTACCAGAAATCGTTGAAAATGTACCACTGCGATACAGGGTTGCCCGACGATCGTACGTGATAATTTGGTCCAACTCGCAACAGCGTTACAATATTTCTCCGTTCCTCATTATTCTTGTCGTCAATATAACAGACGACAGCACTGAGACCGTATTGTATTTTTTGAGTATTATTAGATATCTCTGAATTTGTACTTTTCGCCTCGCCTACTTCCGCGTTCGATACTATATTACAATTTTCGACGTTGTTACAATCTTCGTCATTATTGTCTTCGACGTTGTTGTCGGAAACTGTTCGTACTGTTTTGTCATCTTGGCCGTTCTCCATCACGCTCGTTTGTGCGGACGTGTTATTCGTCAATTCGTTTTTTGGTTCGCTAACTTTTTTAACCAACATCTTGCCATTTTCTTCAAGAGTGATCTCTATGTTGTGAGGTATCCAGGAATGCGAATAATACAAATGACTAGGGGGTGAAATAACTGACACTGTCGATGTAGACGAGGTAGACGGAGTAGAGGGCGATGTTAATAATTTCTCCGTCTCTGTATGATTAATAAAATACAAAGTTCATACGGAGTAACATATTAAATCTAAGAGGATTCAATATTGCGTACCTGAGTCGCGACCAACGTGTCTGAATCGACATCCAACTCGTGTACAATTATTGCCATATCGACAGGGTTTCGCAGTAACAGGCACAGGACTGGAGCTGGGACTACTCTCCTTTCCCGTTAACACATTTTGCACTACGATGTCCATCTGATTTTGCCAAAACGCCTTATCCTGTAACAATTTGATCTCTGTTAACTTTGATCAATAAGACGCAATGTGCGGCTTCATATGCTTTGATTCTGTATGCGCTATGATCTAATCTTGTGTTGTAAGTACCTGTTGAGTATCTAAGCCGCAATTTAAGGCCAGTATTTGAGGTAGTTTAGTCAATTGTCGTGACTGGAGAGTAGGTGTAAATTTCTGGCAACTATCACACCATGCGGGTGTAATTTTCTCAGGTCTTAAACTGCGGGCAAGAACACTTGTAAACGGTACCTCTTCAGCTACAAAAGGTAAATCTTGTATTCAGAAGCGAGCATTAAACTATGACTACTATTTACTATGACTATGACTAATATTCGAAACTTCGAAATCCTATTTCTAAAAATACATTGTTATTTATTAAATTTTATAATTTTAAAAACTTAAAATGTGAAAATTGTATCGCTGTCAGATTTCAATAGTTATTTTTCTTATCTTATTTTTTTGTCTTAAAATACTCAAATCCGTAAATATGCAGTCAAAGTTTCAAACATTTTATGTGCTAGACTCGCTTTTCGTTCGGTCTTAAATATATGTATTACTTCAAAATAGCTCACAAGGATTGACTATTTCCGGATAAACTAAATTACAAAGTAACATGATGGAATGTTTCGTAGCTTCTTGCCCACATTTGAGACAGCGATGTATGTGCATTTGTTCAGATCCAAATAGATGACTGATCTCTGTTTCATCATCTCGCACTTCATTCTCTTCGGCAGACTTTTTGGTGTTCTTATCTACCCGTAATAAATGCGCATTTAAGCAAATATTATTAACACGTTACTCACAATTAAGTAAAAAGAGAGAAATATTGTTTAGTGAATAAGATAAGTGTCTAATATTTCCACAACAATATTTAGTTATTGATATATATGTATATATAGATAATCTTTGATGTTTTGTAATAATAGTTAATTTAAATATATTCTTATTTATTAATTTATGGGATATCGCGTCTTGCTTAAAAAGTATGGAGAGTTTGATTTTTTTAAACATGAAATACTACAAAATATAGATATCATCGAGGTATATGTATAAAAACGAATTATTTTCTCAAATATTATATAATATAACATTACTCGATATTATATTATCATATTTATACTTTTAACATTCATGAATATCAATCATATATTTCTAAATCCCAGGATTCTTGTATAAAAGCAAGATCATGCAACTTTTGGAAAGTAAGATACAAGGGACTGGCTGCTCTTCTTGTTATAAAAAAAAATACATTATATACAATAAAGCGTTTTAAGGAATTACAAAAAGCATTTACTGCAACTTATTAATTTAATATAAGATTAATATATATAAAGAGAGAGAAATAATATATTCTAAAAAATATATGCGCATCGGCGCATATATACAGAAAGCTTCAATCTTGATATCCTAAGAATACAAGATAATAAAATCATAAAATATTCTATTAAAATATAGATAATGTTTCTGCAATCGTCATAGATTGTGCCTAATTTTTTAATTAATGATATAGTAATAGCATAAACTTCTGTTGTCTCTTGTTATTCTTCGGATATATCATTGCAGCCTTGGATCAAATAAATAGGTCAAATAATCACATAAAAATTGAAAAATAAACACAAAAGTGCCCAGTGCAAAGGTTACACATAATTTGTGTTTACCTTTCGATGTGATCCACATATATTTACCATCCTCCTCCTGCTTCCTCTTTTTTTTCCTCTCATCATCGTGACTTTTATATCGAGAACCGAGATCCTCAAGGATGCTAGGAAAATCCTGTTCGTTTTATTCCACTGAAAAAATGAATTTCGGATAATCTGTCTTATGAAATTTTTGCTATGCGTTTCGCGCAAGATCGTACAATTTCATGGGATAGAGAGAAAGTATAATTTGAGATTGTAAAAAAATAAATAATACCTATTAAAAAAAGAGAACGCGTTGTTGAAGGGAACTAAACTGATAATACGGCGCATATATTAAAGTTACGCATATATATGTTGTACGAGTTTGTCATATACAACCTTTATTATTCACTCAAGTACAACTTCGAGATTATACATTTTATGCGGATATATATTCTACGTGTATAATATACTAGCAGCCTATGAAGAGATTATTGAACAGAAATCATTAAACAAAAACGAATAAAATGCATCGATCACAAACGCATTGCGGAATTGAAGGCAGTAGAGTATCACGCTGGTCGATAATGTATAGGAATTATGGAAGCTTTCGGGAGAAGATATATGAAATATTTATTCACGTTTCTCTTCTTCTTTACGTAGGGCATTCTGTAAACGTTAACACAAATAATTGAAATAAGAGAAATTAAATCTTATACTATCGATATAATATTCAACGCATGTTTTTTCTTATTAGACGCTGCCACGCGTAATTTTTCTGAAAAATATTGTTCAAAATATTCAAAATATTCAAATAACCATGATATATATATATTAATATTAAAGAATTATACCTCTGTACAATGTGTTTCTCTGTAAAGTAAGGAAAGTTATATATATGTCATAGCTAAATCACAAAATCCATCGTTTTATAAAACGTCTAAGCATTTTATAAAGTGCGGTCACATTCTCAAATCATGGTTGAAAATGAAATATTATATGTTGTACGAGTTTGTCATATACAACCTTTATTATTCACTCAAGTACAACTTCGAGATTATACATTTTATGCGGACATATATTCTACGTGTATAATATATTAACAGCCTATGAAGAGATTATTGAGCAAAAATCATTAAACAAAAACGAATAAAATGCATCGATCACAAACGCATTGCGCAATTGAAGGCAGTAGAGTATCACGCTGGTCGATAATGTATAGGAATTATGGAAGCTTTCGGGAGAAGATATATGAAATATTTATTCACGTTTCTCTTCTTCTTTACGTAGGGCATTCTGTAAACGTTAACACAAATAATTTAAATAAGAGAAATTAAATCTTATACTATCGATATAATATTCAACGCATGTTTTTTCTTATTAGACGCTGCCACGCGTAATTTTTCTGAAAAATATTGTTCAAAATATTCAAAATATTCAAATAACCATGATATATATATATTAATATTAAAGAATTATACCTCTGTACAATGTGTTTCTCTGTAAAGTAAGGAAAGTTATATATATGTCATAGCTAAATCCCAAAATCCATCGTTTTATAAAACTAAGCATTTTATAAAGTGCGGTCACATTCTCAAATCATGGTTGAAAATGAAATATTTTACAATCTGGCTAAGAATTTTAGTATTTTTATAAAACGCTAACAAGCGACACGCCACATTGTCAAACACAACGATTTGTACATCGTTTTAGATTTTGGTTGGTTCATTTTAGTCATTTTATAAACGACGTTTTTAGCGACCTTACTTTGTTACATTTGATAAAATAGTCATAATAAATGTGTTCTTAAAATTTT